ATGTCTGAGTTACGAAGCGTACGTAACGAGCAAAAATTTCTTAGTGATACCAACCTTCAGGTTTCGTATAACAAATAAATATAAATTTAAAATTTGTCTTTGTGGCATTATTATTATTGCTTATTTACTATTTGTTAAATATTTAATAAACAAAATTAAAAATTTAGTTAAAATTTCTTTTTTCATTTTGTTAAAAAAATTTTAAAACCCGCATGCAATTAGAGTTTGAGACCGCTGCCTTACAGTATTCGAAAAGTGCGAAAGAAAATGCTTTTAAAAAGAATATTTAATTATAACACCGTGATCGGTATTGACCTTTTACTTAAAAATTTATATATTATTAACTTTAATAAAATTCTTAGTTTTTGAATTCTGTTTAGAATGAAAATTGCGTAATTGCTACTAATGTTATGCTTGATTGGAATTACAATTTATGATTTGAAATGCAAAAGAAAGCTAGAGGTCTTAAGTTAAAATTTTAAAGACATTATAAACGCATTTGAGGTCGTAATAAATAGCTGTATAATTTCTTGCAGCTATTTAAAGAATGCATATGTAACACAAATGTGCACCTTAACATCTAGAGCAATATATTTCTGGGAGTGAGAATTTAATGTTGACAGCTTTATGAAGAACAGAAATGTTAACGCGCTTTTAAGAACTCACATGCACTATATATCCTTCTATGTATCCGTAAATAACTGCCCACCCTGCATACCATGTCTGCCCTGGACGCAGTAGATGACCTAACCTTGGCCTAAAAAGACCTAAACTTAGAGGTAATATCAGTCAAGAAAACACTTACCGCTTTCTTATTTTGATATTTAATAGAAATGACTGAATTAATATACCAAATTAAACGGAGAAAACTTTTATAACTTTAATATAACGGTCTTTCTTCTATCTGTAAAGGAATGTTAAGTAATAAGATTATTTAAACATTGCCTGAAAAATACTGCTGTTAAAGACAGGAAAAACAGGAAGCCCTCATTTGAACGGCTAAATTTAAAACAATTACCATAGACCCTTAATTTTCAAACTACGAAATACGTATAGAAAGTCCTGTGCAACAGGGAAGAAAAATAAATTTTGTATTTATTACATAATTGCTCCCCCTTTCCTACTAATTTTACCGCTTGTAAACTGAGACGAAAAAATACGCGGTGTATAATATTTCTGAAGAGACGGCTTTGCTTATAAACATAGCACTTTAAAAAGCACTCCTAAAGACACACTAACATCATTATATTTTTATTTATAAGGATCTATCATTTTCAATAATATTCTTTTTATTTATGTAAAATACTTCATAAATCACAAGTTTCTGACATCACACGCTGAAACACTAGGGAAAGTTAGAGAGCAGGAGAAATATGAGAGTAAATATGGTTCGTAAAGTATTAATAAAAATGTATAAATAAGAGTTAAAATTAAATTAAATATAAAAAAAATGAAAATATTTATAAATTAATATATATATATATATATATTATATTTAGAGAAATAATAAATTACACTAAACAAAGGCATCTTAAAAATGAACTGTTATAAAAAAAGAGATATAAGATTAATGATAATAATTCATAGAACACCGAGGATAAAAAGTGGTTTTGAACAATATACTTCGCTGTTGCTTTATTCATTCATTATGACTAATTTAAAGCATTCTTAACCGCATAGCTGAAGTTCATAAATATTTCTCTTCCTACATCATTTCACAATGCAGGAATGGCTTCTCAGTTGCTCAAGTTTTTTAGCATATTTTGCTCGTCCGAAAGAAACTGTTACATGCTTTTTGTAACTACTAATGTGTCTGTCAGTTTAACTGACTGCTAAGATAAATGTTGCATCAATAATGCTTGTATTCCTGTTCAGTTATTCAGCAACGTACTGTAGCTCACCTTACTTCGGACTCCTGCGCGCTTGGACTGGTATTACGTTTTTGTTGAAAAATTGAGAAGTACTTGAGCTGGGCTTTGATCTTTAATTGGGCTCCAGCTGACTTTACTTTCTGATTGCCGCCATATCCTGTATCTTTTTATTTTTATCAGAACATTAAATAAATCAGTGCAGAAAATCTTAATTCATAATTAGTGTAAAACTTATAGTTACTCATTAAAACTACTTATTTTAAATTTTTTAAAACCTTGTTAGGAAGTAAATACGTAGATAGATAAAGAAATGTAATGAAGCGCAGAAGAAATGGTACTGTAATATTGCGGCTGTTCTAAAATATTCGGATTTTCATAATGACGATTTTGGATTTCAAAATGTATTTCAAAGTATACTTACGCAAAAGGGAGTTTTTATGTAAAAGTGATACCTTCTGAACGCCTAATGGATTCAGTACTAATGATTTTCCGACTTAATTACAAAGAAGGGCGTGATCCAGAACTTGATCATGACTATTTAAGTACATTATTAAAATTTTAATTTTTAAATGTGCAAAATTTTTATGCTTTTGATTGCGGTCAGTTAAGATAAATTACTTCAGGTAACTTAACATCTTATGCATATAAAGCAAGGGTGAAAAATAGATATGGACAATAGATTCCGATTTTTCCAAATTTAATGTTTTCCTTATAAAGGTAAAGAGGTTTTTTTGGAATGTGATATATACATCTTCATCATATTACATCCTAAATTATAATTTTATGAGAAAACAAGGAAATACATAGCTATTTTCTTATTTGATCGAGCTGCGATTGTCTAGTTCTTGATACGTCAAAAGAAAACAAGAAGTTACAGAAAGATGCAATTACGTTCGCTGCAAAACTATTTAAATGCCACAGAATGGCTATATCAATAATTTGGAAATGTGATTCTGAAAATAATTGCCAAAGTGAATCTTATGTTAATGCTGATTCTTTGAAAAAACAAAATTGTAGACGCAAATACAAAGATTATGGAGAAAAACGTAGACATATGCCGCTTCACCACTGAAGCAGCAAACATAGCCTTTGATAATATTTCTCCCGAAATGCTGGGTAATACGTTTCTGTTACTTTTAACAAGTTATGCTGGAAGGAATGGTCGAATAATTTTATGCTTACGCATATGGGGGAAGTAAAGCTTCGCATCCAAGGGACCTTACTTACAAGTTAAAAAGACAGTAACGAAATTATTGAAAAATCCAGAAACTATTTGAACACTCAAATAAAGATTTTTTGTTTAATTTAATCTATTTTTTGATAATAACTCGAGTTCTATATTTGTTTTCTTTTGCTGCTATTATTATGGGTCAAATTAACTTCATTACCTGCTACTATTGTTATTATGGGGCAGAGGGAATAATTGATAATAAAAATATTAGACTATTAATAGCTTTTAATTAATTATTCAGCACATAGTTTTCGAACAACTTAAATAACTTAATTACCGAGTACTAATAACCGAGTACTGTAACGTATGTGGGAAATGTTACAGTACTTCTATGAAAACGTAAACGCTGACTACCCTATACTTCCATGAAAATGTATTTCTATTCTTCCATGAAAACTTCTTCAGTGACAGGAATTGAGGCTTTACTTTGCAGAAATTAAACATCCACAACTTTTCCAAGTTTGTTAATATGATTTGTTGCAAATGAACACCAATTTATACTAGCGTGTAAGTATGTAACCTCTTTTTAATAGCTAACCATTTTTATCGTCATTTAAGCATTTTTTGTTTAGTAAATTATTGAGATGACTGAAGAATAAGTGAAAACGAGAACAAGTAATCTTGGAGAAACTAACATACAGCTTCTTCTCTTTAATCACTCTGCTACAGAAACTGTTGCTACTAAGGCAATTTTCGTGATACAGCAATAGTTTTAAATTAGTATGATCTTTTTGACTCATAAATTTATTGCACAGTCATTGGAGAATCGTAACAACATGAAAACAAAACTAAGCACACCTCTTACTCATCTATAAGACAAAAATAAATCAAACTTTAAAGCACCCTCTTGGCATGTACTACCTACATAATATGTTTAAAATATTGATATCAAGCGCCATTCATGTCACCTTGCATGTTATCTGCTTCTCTTTAATTTGAAACCTTCAATGTTTGACAGACTTATCAGAGATATCGTCCGAGGAAAAGTTGCTAACATTGATTTGTGTTGACAGTAAATATAGACGGTTAGCACTATCTCTTGACAAAAACCTGAAATTCTAATTTTTTGCAAGATATTCCGATCTTTTATTATTTATACTAATAAATTTTAGGATAGCTTGGTAAATTCTAATATTTAAAAGCTTATCTACGTTTGAGGGGTAAAGTCGCTTAATCATTCTACCTAGGTTCAAATCCGGGTTCCAAACACAAGCAGTTTAAGATTAAGCGGTTTGGGAGGTTTTATTGAAACATCATGCGAGCAAATTAAATCGAAAAATTGCATAAAAGCAAATACTTTCTGCATTAACTTAGTGCGCATTAGCAGGCAGGTTTAAGAGGGCATTACATGTTTACTCTTACTGTGGAATATATATTAATTCATTCCATTAATAATTTGCTTCTATTATATTAACTTATTAATATGGTCTATGTAAGGTTTTTATTTATTTTTTAATTAACAAATACGATATGAGATTATAAGGTATTTCTCTTACCTTCCTGGCAAGCCTTCGTGGTGTGGTGGTCTGCTCCCTGGGCGCGTATTGCAGACGTCCGCGGTTCGATTCCCGGTGAAGGCGTTGCTAATTTTTCATGACTCCTGTTACCTAATGTCAATACAGTGGCGCCCGAATTAAAAGGGTGGTGGATGATGAATCTCCATACCCAGGACTTGGCGATTGGGTCCCCTAAAACCCCAGTCGCCCTTTAAAAGAGGGAGTATATAAGGTATTTCTCCCGCCTTTTTGGCATGCCTTCGTGGTGTGGTGGTCTGCACGCTGCGTGTATTCTAGAAGTCCGAGGTTTGATTCTCGGCGAAGGCGTTGCTAATTTTTCATAAATCTTGCTTCCAATTTACCTAATGTTCCTACAAGCTTATGTATTCTATCTAGGTTTGTGAGTCTTACTTACTCTCCGATAAAGATGAAAGGTTACGTAGAATAAAAGAACCCAGGGAGGACAGGGTGACAGGTTAAAGATGAAAGGAAACGATAAGGGGTTAAAGACGAAAAGAAAAGTGTAAAGATGAAAGGAAAAGATTAGAGAGTAAAGATGAAAGTAAAAGATGACAGGCTAAAGATGCTGGCAGGTTATGAGACAATACCATTGCCAGGTAAGTCAAAATTAAAAAAAAATGTGGTTTGAAATGTACAATATTGTATATAACACAGAAATGCATAAACTGACAGAGTTTTTAAACAATTTATCACGTATTTTTTTAACCATAACGCCGTATTACCTATAATGCGGAAAACAAAATTTGTTTTAAACTAAATGCTTGATGAGGTATCCTCTCATTACAGAGCGCTGTAGGAAGGCAAATAAAAACATCATTAATATCATAGATAGCATTTCTTTGAGCATTATTGATACATGCAGTCACACAGCATCTCTTAACATTGTCGGTGGCTTTAAGCGACTCATTTTCCACTTCGCAATTAATTTTGAAATAAGCATTTCAGTATCGAATTTAAACTTGTGACCATGCCTGTAAAGCAGCTAATTGTATTTATTCTGCTAAAATACTTGCTTAAACACCGCTGTAAAGAATTTTCTCCTGCCTTACTGCGTGACTTCATAAACTGTTTCTTAAGCACTCTTTCTTCGATGTGTTTTATGGTTAAACAATACTTAATCTACTTTCTTCGCCTGGTCTCAGAGTGAGAAAAGAAATGTCCTCTTTTACTATAGCGTTAGAAGCTCTTTTCTAACTTCATTTCGTATTAACAAACACTTTATACCGTGCATCAATAGCCCCAAAATTTATAAATTCAAACGCAGATTTACTCAATTTATAGCTAATAATTTCTTAATAAATTCATAATCAGTAATTTTTAATTTTTACGCTGCTTTGTTCAGTCTAACTTCATGCACACAAGAACTCTCTAAAAAAGAAGATATAAAGTTATCTCTAAAAAAGAAGATAGCTTGAAGATGAGGCTCAGTTCGGTTATAATATTGCTCATTAACTGTAATTATTAATTGATTGAAATCGCTTGTACTGAAATAAATTATTACGATAAAACATTTACTTCATGTCCTCTCTGTTGCCTGAGTTGAGCATCCGTAAACTGGAGGTTAAAACTAAGACTTGTTCGCAAGTATTCAGGTAACTTCTGAATTAATATTTGTTAGCTGGCAGCTATCCAGGCATTCGCATCCAATAAATTTGAAATGTTGAATTTTAAGTTCTGTTGCCTTCAAGTTGCACATTTTACCTGCTAGAATGAGTTTCTGTAATACTCAAGTCGTAGAAATCAATCTTTAGCTTGATTGTCACTTGTGCGACATTTCAATGAGTTACAAAGCGAGAATTCTCAGATTTCAAATACGGCTACACATAATAGGCAATTGGATAAAGGCACTTGGCAAATTAATTTAATTTAGGATGTTATAAAAGTAACCTGTGTCATATTATTTCATTCTTTGGGTAGATCATTTGATGGAAAATCTGTTTTAGTTAGCCTTACACTGGTTAGCTTCAGTTTAAACAAGGTAAACCAAACACATTTTGCAAATTCATTAAGTGAGATTATATTATTCATAGTGACAATATTGATGATAATAATTCAAAATCAAAATCACTATGTCGTAAGATCATGGAAGTTCAGTTAACTTTGTCGCCAAGCAAAAAGAATCCCTGTATAAACCTTTTATAAGTCTTTCTTGATATAATTAATTTTGTTGTTCTTAATAACAATAGTCAATCATGATTTTTTACCTACCCAATATGAGAGCAAGGATAACTCTCATGTCTTACGATATTGTATCGTGATTACTTTATTTTTTCTTCTTTTTCAGACTAAACTCATTACTATGAGCCAGAACAAAACTTCGTCACTCTTGTTCTTAAATTAAAACCTACTCTTTTGTTCCAAAACATTTTTTAAAGACTGAATATTTAAATAATAAGAACACATGGTTAACTAATATAAAGTGCAAGCATGATATGAAACTATCATTTGATATAACGAATTGCAACATGAAAACAAATTCTGCAGGAAGAGATAAGTATGCTAATAAAAATATGGTAAATTATTAAGTAATCTGTGACTGATAACGCCATCAAACATAAAGATTTTCGTCCTGAGTGATGGTAAAGAGTAAAATAAATAATAGATTTATATTCATATTTTGAAAGACGTTTCTCGCCTTTATCCTCATAATATGTCGCATAAAGATAACATCTCTTTATTTAATCTTTGCTCTAAACCTTGCTCATATATAAAATGAGAGCTTGAGGTGAAACCAAGCTATATCTATCAATACATTTTTTTTTCCAAAATGAATAGAATACTAATTTTCCTGATGCTTGGGATCGCTTTTAGTGAAAGTAAGTTGCTCTATGCATTATGTGAATCTTTTTTTCAGACACACCGCAACTGAAGAAATGTAATTAATTATCATGTTTACTAATTTCATATAAGTGCATTTAAGTACTGAAGTTTCCAATATACTAATTTTAATTATAAATAATTATTTTCAGGATTGATGACTAACATTTTCGTTTCTTTATATAGTCCTATTTTAATTAAGCTTATTCAGACATTATTTACTATTTCTTCAAAAACATGTATGCCAGATATGTGTGTAGTACTTTATAAAAATGTACTGGTAAACTTAAATAACCTGTATAATTACTATGAATTATGTTGTACATTTTTACTATGTTGTATAATGAAATATTTGAAAACTTTCAACAGAAAACGAATCACGACTTCTAAAAATGATTTCAGCAGTGATTGTAGCATCAAGTTAAATTCGACATCTTCAGAATGTTGAAATATTTAGGCTTTGAAAAAGACGCAGTTTTTGCTAAAGCTTAAGAAGCCTATGATTAGGGTTATTTAGCCAAATATAGAATAATTAATGCAGTTATTTCGTGAACTTTTATTCTTCTGCTTTGCTGTTATTGTTGTTGTCTTGTCCATATTACACGGAACGGTGGTTGCCAGAGCCTACTTCGATGAGATGTTGGACTTCTATTTTCCGCCCCCAATTTTGAGGAAGAGCATCCAGGAGGGAATTCGGGGGTCTCCCAAACCTCTCCTCACCCACAATAAAGACGAGAGGATTTCGGCTTGCCGCATATTTAGAGTGCCGCCTTCCCGCATCGACACTATACGTTTGCATTATCACAAACATTTATGCCTTACTCGGGATTCGAACCCGGACCTTTTGGCTCCGTAGTCTCTCTTATTTCGGGTAATTAGCAAGGCAGAAAAGTCGCCCAGACGGAATAGTGGTTAGGGGAGGTAAACCGCTGAGTTGGCTTCCGACCCGGGTATAGATATATCCATGCAGAATTGGTTACCAACTCGGCGGGAGTCAACCACTAGCTACCGGGCCGCAGCCCCGGGATTTAAATTTTAAAATTCGCACAAATTTTAAAAATATGCGCATAATTTTCCCCTTTCTCAATGCGTTCAGAGTCAGAGATACCTTAAATTTAAAAAGAGAGTTGGTTCAAGCAGTGACAGCTTTCTTCTTGCTAACAATCTCCCGCAAACTACCTGTGGAGGTCACGCCTAACATTTCGCTTCTAAATTTTGCACTTGATGCCAGCTTAATGCAGAACGGACCACTCATAGAACCGACATGCAAACACGAACCGACATGCAGTCTACGATTTCGCTGAGTCAGCTGCAAATTCCCCTTCTTTAATTATTTATGACTGATATGAGGCCTAAGGAGTAGTAGAGGCAACAGTGAGATTAGGCGAGATTCAAGTTAAAAGGAAGTAGAATTGAATATAATGTGTTAGAAACTGTAATGTTAATATTACTATTACTTACTTATTGGAATGTAGGCTTCTTCTAAAGGAATAGTTTTGTGATAATTATTCGTAATTTATTCCCGGCTACTTTTCATTTGTAATGTTCTTACTATAATCGTATCCTTAGGAAATTAAATTATTCGCATAATTCTACCCTCTAGATTTTTGGATAAAATTAGTGAAAGATGGGAGAAAAATACTGTATACCATCTTATAACACAAATGTTAAATAAGCGTTATTTTTTAATCAGATGAACATATTTATTTGAAACATTTTTGACAAATGTCGCACGAGTTAATACGAAAGCAACTGAGTTTTAGAACGAAATGCACATTTAATTTTGTATAAAAGTACCTGTATATTCCTGAAACTAATACTGAAAAATAGGAACCCTGATATTTCAAGAACAAAAATATTAAGACTAGCAGTAATTAGTTTTAAAATTTTAGCAGTTGACAATTTTTTTAACTAGGTAAATTAGTAAAAGAAACATTATCCTTTTGTTAGTACGCATGATGACTAAATAATTTGCCGATGTACAGTATTTAAAGTATTCTGCTCCAGGCCTCTTGCATTAGCTATTAAGTGCCCATAGTTTTAAGCTCAAAATGTTTTCCTTAAAAATTATTATCCAAAGACAAAAGAGCATCAATGCATGATAATCTGCCTGTATGAAGAGAGGAGAAAATCTCGGAGGGAAAATCTCTCAGTTAAATATTAAAAAGATTTTTGAGCCCTAACTTATATAGAAGTATAAAAGTTTCGGTTACATTTATATTAAGAGACCTAAATTTCGAAATTAACAGCAAGACAAGCATAAATATCTTTACAAGTGTTATCAGACTATATCAGATAAAAACCTGGTTAAAGTGTCAAAGCAGTTTTACTGAGAGATGGCTTAAAGAACAAGGGAATTCAAGTAAATTCTGCGTATGTTTGTTCTAGAACCAGAAAGCCAAACCGATGGGGTTCTACAGTCAGAGAACCAAACCGAAACCTTTGATATATCTCCAGGAGAAGAAAGCAGTTTGAAATGAACTAAAAATACCTACACAAAACGTAATAAAAGGGAATAAAATATTCAGAAGAAAAACTAAAACTGATCACTTATTGGTTATGGAGTAAATGCAGGATTACGAGCTTGGAGAACACAAAAGGAAGTGCTTCGTAAACATTGTATTTTTCTTGTTTTTGCTGAAAACCATTTAGTGGAAGTTCCTATTAAGACAATTACCTATATGCTCTGATTAATTTGTTATTTGTATTATTTAAATATATCATCATTTAAAGTTGTATAAAACGTTTTTCCATTTTATAAAAAGGGGCTTTGAGCAGTTCATTGTAATAGTATTACAGATGACTCAAAATGTTCGTGTAGGGACATAATACAAATTGTAACAAGTAATTATATAGAAATAGTAAGATGCCATTAGGCGTGATATTTTAATAGTCTTATTACTATCTAATTAGTATTTGATTTACAGGCAAAAAGTCAGTAACACTGAAAGACTGTGGAACTTCGAGAGTTGTGAACGGTGGAGATCGAATAGTTGGCGGAAGGAATGCACTTGACGGTGAATTTCCTTGGCAGGTTTGTCAAAAATTGTAATTTTAATGGTTAAAATTAATTTTATTCTTTTAAAAACAGCAGATTATAAGTTTGTTAGATTTTAACATAAAATCTAAATCTATAATTCTGAATTAAAACTATAAAGTCTCCCGCCTTCCTAGCGTGCCTTCGTGGTGTAGTGGTTCTGCACGCTGGGCTGGTATTCCAGAGGTCCGTGGCTCGATTCCCGGCGGCGAAGGCGATTGTTCATTTTTCATCTTGCCTGCTTCCAAAAAATACCTAATGTCTCTACATGACGTATAAATGTCCTTTAAATCAAGGTTTCCCAATCTGAGCACTACTCGCAATTCCAGGTATTGTCGGATGCCAAGAGTCTTATTACCTTGAGTGACGAGTCGTGAGTAAGTCGTATGATAGTCGTATGACTATAGGAGGGAAATTCTTTTTTCAGGAATTGGCGAAATTTAAACAAACGTTTTCCAGATGTGTGGGGCATAGAAAATAAGTATGTATCCTCGTTTAGACTCAATAACACCGCAACTTTAAATAAAAGTTCTCTTCCCCAAGTTATATGCTATCCTATTAAAAAAAATCAGGTGTTTTGCTGTCTGTTTTTTCGAACAGTATTGTAGCAAAGCAAAAATTAATCTATATGTGCAATATCTAAAGATAATTTTTAGATCAGTGATGTCTGAAGCATTCTGATTAGGCGCCCCTTGGTTTAAAAATTTATTGGACCGCCGACAACATCTCCTAGTGACTTTGTTATGCCAAATATACAGAACTCAGGTAAATTGGAATGATGGAACTAAGAGCATTTATACTTAAATAAAACGAATATGAACGCGGGAGAAATGCATAATATCATAAGTCTGTCTGTTTTCTATGTTACTATAGTGGAAAATGATAGAAAAAGAGATACTTAAAAATATAACATGTCAAACTTACTAATGACTGGATGCTTCATTTGTGGCAAATGTAAAGCGTCTGCTCGCAGTTATGTTTTCAGTAATTACTCCTGAGCCACTCATAATCTACTGACTTGCCATCTTCGTTTGTTTTATTTCTCAAAATGTATTCACTAGCTTAATGAAAAGGCATATTCCACAACGCAAAATCTATGTTTCTTTTAGGTCAAAGCTTTAGCAATCAGATTTTTCGCAAAAAATACGTTGTTCGTAGATCCACTGTCTGAGTTTTTACGGTACCAAAATTCCAAATAAATCCTTTTCTTCACCAAGCTATTAATATTATTTCTTCTTACTTTCAAAGAATAACTAAATGCTCAAATGAAGGAGAAACATGCATATGTAAAATTTAATATTAAGCAAAATGTCCCCATAATTTGACGTAGATTTTAAATAAAACTCTATCGATTTCAAAGGGTTTTTTTTTTTTTTTTTTTTTTTTTTTTTTTCCAAAATGAAAGAAGTGGCAACCGCTTTTACATCAGAAGCAAAAGGCGGAGAAAATCGAACACGAACCTAGCGCTAAGCTGAAGGACTAGCTATGGGAAATCCTCCGACTCCATTACTTGCTGACATTTACATGCATTATTTTGAGGTCAGTTGTTAGAGAAACTATCTTTTCAGTTTTTGATTCTCTACACTGATGACTTATTCGCGCGTTTCGACGGTTATAAAGACGATTTAACCAACATTTTATATTATGAATTTGAGCGATTCAGCTGTCTAGTTCATCTTTGAATGCTGAATGTGATAATTCCACATCTTTCCTTGATATTCTAATTATTCGCTATATATTTAATTTCAGCACTGCTGTTTACCGTAACTCATTTTCTGTCTGTTTGCCTCTCTACGTTAAGTCGTGACCTCCTCTTAAACAAACAAACAAAAAAAGGCTTCTTTTTACTCTTACGCATATTATGCTTTCAGAGTTTGTTCTCCAGAATATTTACTTCCTCTTGCTGACAATTGTTTAAAATTGGTTCTTACTGATAGAGAATTTTCTTCCAGTGTCATTGATAAAAACCTTTAAACATTTTTCGTTTTATCATAAAAAAAGACATTCCGCTGCTAGGAAAAAAAAACATAATTACCGTGCCGTTTTTCATTTCATTTCTCTTTCAGACTCAAAATCACTCGGATTCTCCAGCAGTTCAAATTTTAGGTCACCTTTCTCACCGATTAGTAAAATTCATTTTTTGTTTCTTAAAGATCTCATATCTGATTATAATTCTTGGGAAATTTTTGTAGCATTATAATTTCAGCGGGGTTTGAGATATTTTCAGCCAAACTAAATCAGCTTTAAAATTTTGTGTTAAAAACACAATGATATGTTCGAAAGTGAGAAATAAACAGTTGTTTAATAACTAATCATAGTTAGACACTTAATTACAATTTTCACTTTAGTTTTGCAAAAGCTATCCATAACATTTCGTCACCTGGGAACTTACTTTTAATTGCAGTTTTTCAGATTCACAAAAACTTATCTTCTTTTGTTAAAGAGATTGATTCCTATCCAATTCTTCCTTAACGCTTCAAAATTCTTGTAGCTTAGTTTTTCATCTTTCATTAGTTTTCCTCTACAGGTAATGCTACATTTGTGTTCGCTTTGCTCTGCGTTTTGCTTTCGATCTAGAAGGGATTGTACTTCTTCCATTTTTCAAAAATATTTTTGCTTCTGAAGAAGAGCGGCCTGTGTCTGATCGTCCTTGAAATCGATAGAATATTTTCAACATCTGAGGTAAATTAAGGCTGCTTTGTGCCTAATCTTTAAATAGCTAAAAATTATTTCATTACTTCATCTAAGGCATTTTGTTTCTTAAGTATTTCATTCGCATATCAATATCTAATAGCTTGAATGAAGTTTAGCTGTTGATTTTCACCAGATATGTAAACAAATTCCTCTAGAATAACTATGGAGTAAGGTTATATGCACCACTGGTTTCCTATAAGCAGGGTAATGTACGTTTATAAATAAAACAGTGTATTTACTTTGCAGAGTATATAACTTTCTTTGTTATTAAAGGTTTACAGAACCCCCTCCCCAGCGCAGTATAAGTGTACCTATCACTAGCTGTCAGCACCTTTAGAGAGTGAAATCACAGTTTTAAAAACCAGTGTATTAGAAAGAAAAGCTGTTTATTTAAATATAAAGTCAAAAACTTTGAAAGCGCAGTCCTTTATTTTGAAAAAAGAAATATTGTTCTGGTCTGAGGTATTTTTTTAAGCGGAAGATAAAAATACAGATGCAATTGCAAACGTTTTCTTAATTCATCGAAAATTATGATATAGTAACAATAAATTTCAATTAAAGGTAAAGAAATTTTAATAAGAATAATCGTCTAAAATTTTATCGCTTGTATTTTTATAGGCTTAGTAGCAATATGCTTTTTATATAGGCTGCCACAAAAGACCAAACATGACCAAACAAGTTTTACGTAAGAAGTTGTGTTCGGAACCGTAACCAGCCGTCGTTAGAAGACGATGTTCACAGATGCATTGGAGAGGTGGGGTCATTTCAGAGGCCTTTGTAAGAGAATGTTGGGTCAATTCAGTGATAGGGGTGTACAGTGTCTTCGTGCGGTATGCTCGTAACAGTGAAGGGAGTTAGGTCGTGTTCGATTACTCTGATACTTATTCCCATGTTCCTCTCAATATCCCGTGGCACAAACGACAGGTGTGCGTGTAATAAGTTGCCGACCGATGTGGCCGCTTATTCAGAAAGGTCCAGTCTCACTTAAATCTGTGATACAATTCTCCAAACAATGGTTGATTTGGTAGATGTCTGTTTGGAAATGGCTCTTGGTTTACATGTGTCTCACTGCTTGTCCATTTCCTCCCACGGCCCCATAAACGTAATACATATCAGCAAGGTTCCTCCGTAATAGATACATGCTTTTTCTGCAACGTCTTTGTCTCAAATAATCCCGCTTTCCATTAAAACCTTCGAACATACATTGTTTCGAACAACATTGGTTTCGAGCATAACTTCCTACATAACTACTAAGTCCTGTTCTGACAGACCAGCATGTAAAGTTCGTAAACGAACTTTTGGGATACCTCGGATAATCTAAAATGCGGGTAACAGAGACTAACTGCATTTGAAATTATGCCAGTTTTCTTTCGACAAGGTTTTTCTGAAATTGTTTGCTTGAAATTCTGATAACAACTGCATATGTGCTCATATTAATATTATTATATCAAAGACTTTGTTTACTAGATAAAAATTATTCCCTTCAATTAAACAAATAAACTTTACAAGATTTTTATTTCGTGAAACAAATATTCATTCAAAAACTATAAGCAAGTAGAAAAACTGTAAAAATTTAGGGAAATAAAGAATCTATAACAAAATTTATGCAAACTGTGAAATTTTATCAAATTTCTGAAATGCTTTTTTTTTTTTTTTTTTTTAAATTTTTTTTTCTTTTGAGAAAAAGAAAGGCTTTTTTGAGGCTCTGCCACCCGCCTTGCGATCATACCAGTTTTTTTTTACCAATAGAAGATTCGCGGGAAAAGTGTTAGGAAGTTACTCTACATGCTAAATATTTTTCTTGAAAATTTCAGTGCCAAACGATATTTCAGTACTCTCTTAAATGAAACTACGCCTTAACAGCATGTATAACATGAACCAAATATAAAGCCTTTAATTTACTTTCCGCGCGCCCTGTAGCAAACCGATTCTCAGAGTGTTGCCCTTCGAAAAGCATAACGTCTTTAATTTTCCTTTCAAATTTAATAAACCTGATACTGATTAACAAGTTGAACAATATGAAAACAATAAGTCCCTTCTTAATATTTAAAATTTTTATTTCACATTTTTAATAATGTAGCTAATTGGTAGAACAAATACATTTAATATATATATTTCATTTATAATGCACCAAAATGAAAATTTTTATGACATTTTCAGCTTTGTTTTTGAAGACCAAAAGTCATTTCTAACTTCACGTGTGACATAAATGGTGCAGTACACTTTAAAAGTATTTCCTGTGACGTTTTTAGGATGTTTCTGTGATGTTGACCACATTTTAAAATATATATACATGCTGCTCTTGATCGGGACTTTGTTCTGAATACATATAATAATTGCTAATTCATTTTTTTAGGTTTCCTTGCGCTTCACTAATTCATTTATTCCACCGACTCATATTTGTGGCGGAACAATTCTTAATCAGAGATGGATAATTACAGCAGCTCATTGTGTTGACAAGTAAGCTGTGAAACAGTTCTTATTATCTTAATCTTTCCTTCATTATATCTATTAATAAAATTAAAATGAAAGAACACACGTTTTGAGAGAATGAAATATGATTTTTTTTCCTTGAGGATATGATTCTGAGTATTTCCTATAATATTTAGCCAGAATTTCCTCGGAGTGAATAGAATTTCTTTTTCGAAAACCCTTTGAGAGATAAAAAAAGGAAGTGGAGTGGGTAATTTAAAAGTAAAAGAAAACGTTACAAAACACCAGCCTTACAAATAAAGATATTTAAACTAGAAAACCGCTGTCAGTTGAACTATGTGTTAAATGAGAATAATAGAAGCAAAGTCATTCCAAATCGAAAGAGAAAATACAATTATAATTTATTTTTAGTTTCAGTTCTAAATCCGGTCAAAGTATCGAAAAAAGAAAAGTTAGAAATGGTTCTTAAAGCTGATAAATTCATACTTTAAGAAATTATTGAATTGTAAATAAAGAAGTATAGATGGATTGTACATTTCGTGATTACCAAATACACATCAAGAAATATAAAACGGAACTTTCAAACAATATTTTTATTACAAAGTTGTGTAGAATAATGCTATTAAGAAACAAGAGGTAGTACAGTTTCTCTCTTAAGTAGTACAGTTTTGCCCAGGTAAACATTATTTTTGAATTTTATATTCAAAATTAAAAGCTCCTTATTAGCTGCAAGTTATACCTTTCTAAAGAGATAATCCTGCGAGTATATGCTGCGCATGTATTAGGGAAACTATGTAAGAAAGATAAGAGGCAGAGTGCTTTAAAATAATACTTGATGGATATTTTTTAATGGACCTATCATTTTTTAATTTACGTGCAAGATGAATTTTGCAGCATTGTAATCTATCGTAGCATTACCAAAAGCAATGATGCAATGCAATTAAGAAGATGCAAAGCAATAATATTTCAGAGGCTGCTGTCCCTTAACCCAAACCGATTTCGAACGTGCCCATTAATACAGAAGACCCAACTTTCATTTTTTGTTGAGAGTACAATTTCATAGCTTTTATCTGATAGAGTACTTGTAAAGAATGTAAAGAATACTTAATAAGCTGGTAAAGACAGAAATAATACGGCGGTTTATAAGAAAATTTTATTGAACAAATGATATTACCAAGAAAGACTTACTTCGAAATTTGAGCTCTTTTGTACTCGAAAAATGAGTGCTTTTATATCTGACTGTTAATCTTATTAAAATTAGCCTATAATATTTAAAATGAAATATTTCTGATATAAAGTTTTACAAAATGTAGATATTTCGCTATTACTTTTCTATCTTTTCAAGCTGAATGAAGAGAGAATTTGAATAAATGTATATGTATATACTTATAAATACATATGTTGATCAATATTAAAGGAATAAGTCACAAGTTCAGTAAGATGAAATTTAACAATAGAAATTGGCATAATGCAGGAAAAATTTATCATACTACAGTTTCGAAGGTAAACAGCATCTTCATTTTTAAATGAGATATATGAAAATGGGACAACTATTGAACAAAATTTAGAACTATGAATTAGATGCATCAAGTTCTTTAGAGGCTAAAATGGCAAATAAAATGCGAAATTTGGATCATTATATATAAAAAAAAAGTATTTGCAGAATGTTAAACGTCTCTAGGAAATCTAATTCTCCAAAGTAAGGCGTTTTTTACTACTTTTTGGCAGCATATAAATGGAAAGTATAGCTTGCCAACAAATATTCCTTAGCTTAAGATTCATCCGTGCTTAATCCATGCATTTCATCCATGTACAATCCATAGCTTAAGAGTTTCGTGTTATAAAACATAACTTTCACATTCTTTGACATGGAATTTAAAGGTTCATCTTATATCACACAAAGAAGATAACTATGGAGTTTAAACAACATGAAAGTTGAATATGTGGAAAATATGTGAAATTTTGTTACTAATCAAAAGAAAGACTGAAATAATTTTTAAATTCGTACGATAATTCGGAACGGAAAAATAGTTAACAGTATGGTATGAAAAAACTCTGTTAATATCAGCCGCGCTTAAACAGAAGAGTTCTTGACCAAAACTAGATTTGGAGAAATAAACTTTGAGTAGACGGAAAATGAAGTAATAAAGACAAATGTTTAATTGAATGACAGGAATCAGAATGATAGGAAGCAGAAGCTGAGGAAAATTTTCAGTTTTAATTAATACTGAAATTAGTTTCATTTATTCGAATAAGAACGTTAAGAAGCCAAAGGGAATTATATATCTCGTGGTCTAGATTTAACTTTCTCCCCTAATAAGATTCATCTATAATAACACAAACCAATAAGATACACTACTAAAGATTCCTTGCGGCTACACTAAATATGAACTCTCAATCTATGTTCAATACTCCTTGCTTTCGTGGCTTAGCATTACAAGCCTCGAAATTCCGCATCAAAGAGCATTAAAATGATTTCGGCAATAAGGTAAAAAAAAAAAAATCACAAATACCCCTTCGGGTACATGTGTTGGATGAAAAACTAGAATTTGCAATATCTGCTCCCATATGTAAATAATAACAGTAATGTATCCCAGTAATAAAAAAATATTTATTGTTGGCGAGTTAGATTTTTCGGAGACTTTTAACATGTATATAAGGTTTTCGTTTTTAGTTAATGATCCAGATTTCAGCCTTTAGACTTTTAAAGAGTATAATTTATAGATGTTGCTCAATCGCTTTTTATCTTCCTCCCATATGGCACTAGAGGGTTTGTTTTCTATCATTAGATCAGGAATCCTGCGGATTGCTGTTTTGAAGTTCACAACGAAGCACATGTTTCTGGTCGCCTCCATTTCGTTTTCGAGGTGACATTGACTTTCGAAAAATTAATGTCTTCGAAACTACAGTATTCAGCTTTTTCTTACTTTACGCCAATTCCTGTTACGAAAATTATACATTTTTCGGTTTACGTTCATTTTCCGTGTTTTTTTCTAATATTTGAATCAGAATTTATTTTAATTTAATATTTCTTTACCTCTTATTAATTCGAAATCTCATGTTAATGCAAAACTTCATGCGCTTTTTTAAATGTTTTTTAAATAACCTTTCTTGTAATTTTATATCATCAATATCATGCTGAAAATTTACTAAACTAGAATTTAGTATTTTTATCATTAGTTTTGCTTTTGAGCCCCCAGCGAGTGCACTGAAGGATTACAACGCATCAAAGAATGATTAAAATCTTAACATACTATAAAGCCGCTTATCTTGGAGGATTACATGCTGCATGTAAATAGCGATTATTTCTGATAAAGATTTCCTTGTAAAGCTTGTTTATACTTCGTTGCACATTGAATATTGATAATTGAAAATTTAAATGAATCATGAGAAAGAGTTATTTGTTTTTGCAATGAATGAAAGTGTCATTGCTGGAAAGATATCACAAGGTTTCTGTTGAAATTATGTTAATTATTTCAATAGTAATGGTATGTAATTTTATAAAATGACAATTTAGCTTACCGACAATTGCAGACAAAGTAAAACCAAATGTTAACGATACGTACAGAGTGAAACATAATTGATAGATGTAACTATAACAGTTGATGTAACATGACAGAAGTAAAATGCTTCATAACACGTCGTTCTGATGGATCCACTGCAGTTGGAAGTCATTCATTTGAATAATTCTCGTAAATATAAAATATTATTTCTTGTAAATACCTGTGATTAGAAACACCTTTCTCTCCCCAGGAGTTTCCGCTTTCACATTTCACACTCCACACCTGTGTATGTGTGTGTGACTTCTAATTAAATAGATTTATGTAGTTTAACAGTTTGTTTTATTTTCTATAAGGTGTTAAATGTTGCTTATTTATTTTTGTTTTTAGAAGAGCAGTCGAAAATTTCGTAGTAGTCGTTGGAATTAAAAATCAAGGTGCCAAAAATGTTGTTTCTTTATTGGTAAGTATATTTTCTAGATATATACTTATAAAATCCCTACTTCCTGCATGCCTTCGTGGTGTAACGGTAGTACACTCGACGCGTATTCGAGAGGTCCAAGGTTCGAGTCCCGACGAGGGCACTGCGGATTTCTTCAGTTTCTTGACTTCAAAAAAATTTCTTAATGATTCTGCAGGTTAATTGTAAGAGTTAATATTTCATTACTAATTTTTGTCATAATTATGTTTATTATTTATTAGAAGAGAGAAAACGCAGAAGAAACTTTACGTTTCGTCATATGGTATTGATCTGCCGGTTTTTAAATGGTCTAGCCATTTTTCCAATTCAGATCTAAATAACATTCAAGCTTCATACAAACTTAAAAACTAAATACAAAACTTCACGGGACTGACAGAGATATTTCGCTGCAGCACAGACCAAATAAGGCGGCTAAAGGGCAAAACTAATCTTAAGATTTAGTAAATCAGAGTACTTAGCAGAAACATGGAATATTTACAATAAAAAGTAGTAGAACTTAAATTAAAGTGAATTTCTACTACCTATTAAAATAAAATTGAACAACATACTTTAGCTGCTCGCAAATGAATCTTTGACGTTTCCTTTTAAAATGTTAAAAATGAGTAAATTTAATTAGAATTAGAATTGAATAGAAATTACTTGCTGATAGTATTTTTTGTGTCAGTTAATCATCAGTAGCAGGTAAGGTTTCTTAGATGAGAGAAAGCAAGCGCAAATATCACAGCAAGGCTTGCTTGCAAATAATAAAGGAAAATCTCCTTCAATTTTTTTTAATTTTATTTGAAATGTTGAAAATTTGAAAATATTTGACTGTGTCGCATTAGTCAGTCTCTTTCTGAATTACGATCTGATAATCTTTATTATAGAAAATGGTGTCAAGTACATCCTTTGTTGATACAATTTTTCCTACCTTAAAGATTATCAAATCGAAAATGCAGCATTCTTGGCCCATTGCAATTAACTTGGAAGATTTCGATTTTCACTAATTCCTAATCGTCTTGAGTTACTTTACGTTCTAGAACCCTGAAAACGCGTGGACTCTGATCGAATAAAATAGACATTCTTCAAATATTCAAGTGGGCAACAGAAATCTGCTGCCTCCAGCAACACAAAAGATAAAACTGGTTGAATAAAAGAGAATAATACGGTGACGTGTTAAATATGTTGGAACGCCGGATTTGGTCTCCGAGTATAAAAGATATTTTTAATTTTTGTTTACAGAGAAATTATTTTATCTGCACTGAGAAAATGAGAAATTCAGATAAAGAGAAAATAGCAATTCTGAGAAAGGAAATATAAACCTTGACACTCTAAAATGCTATTTTATTCTTTTTCATTATGCCATTTCTCTGTTTGAAATCGCGTATTTAATACAATAGATTAAAATATGTGTTTAAAAGCATTTTGAAATTTAATGCATAACATTTTTCAGAAAAATAGTTTCAGAAAACTGCTGATTTTGAAGTGAGCTTGATTAAGCAGAAAGATTAATTCATTTTAATGAAAAATTAAGTATCCAGTGAATACGTTAAACTACTTTAGATCTCAACAAGATATAGCAAACAAATTACTAACAGTAAAGCAGAAGTGCTTAATTCTTGAGAATTATGCTTGCAATTAGGAATAATTCGGTATTTTTTTCTATTTTCGTAGTTGAAACCAGAATGTAGATGCATTTTATTTGTTTAGATAATATCTCAAAATTCATGAGTATCTAAGACATTTAATAGCACCTAAATATGTGTCCTGAGCTGATTACACGAGAACTTTCACCTCCTATGTTAGGAAACTTGCCGAAGGGAAAGAATTGGGTTGCTAGATTATTTGAGAAAGATGCTCGTAATGTCTTGCATTAACTAAAATTAATGTATTCTAATAAATGCATTTAAACAGAAACGGAACAGGAAACCTAAGTTGCAGTATTCTAGCTAAATTAAAGTTACTTGATTGCTAGAACCTGCTAAAACTACAAAGCGACTATTTGCTTAGATCTAGTGGATCAGTAGCGACAACAGAAGAGTTAAAAATACCTTTTTATTTTAGTTTATAATGAATCATAGACGGCCATACTTGGACGTACAGATAGCCGGCACTTATGGCTTTAACTTAAAAGTAGAAAACAGAAAACTAATCCTAAGTTGAATTATCAGCCGAAGTTGCACAGAGGTATTCAATGTGTAGTTGGCTCTTTGGCTAATGTCATCGACGTAGGCTGTTCCCAAACTGAAAATAAATTTTTAGGAAAAATGAAATAAAACCCTACAAAGGAATAAGATATTCTTTTACACATGTCTAGGCGATTACCCTTTTCATTTATGCTTTGAATACTATTTTTCCTTATTTATAATTAAGTAAAAGAAGCTCTAGTAAAGGCATTATAGAGCTTGTTATAATTTAATTAATCAAGGAAAATCGATAATGCAAATAATACATTATTCTCTTTTGATATTTTAATTCATACAAATGAATTAAAAATATAGAATTTTAATTCTGACGTTAAGTTTAAGATATGCGGATTACATTTCTTGTGAAATACAATGCAATCCAGTTTTGTAATTTCTTATACTGTTGTTATTTAATACAAAATTCATTCTCTATCTGTAACTATCTTAGATAAAGATATGAAATTCCAGTCTCATGAATTAAGAAAACATCCATTTTAAACTCTTTCTGCAGATTATATCAAGTTTTTGCTCTTATGAGTTTAACATATTGTTGAATTTCGAAACTCATATTTAGTAAATAAACTTCTACACGTACTTTGTTCGAGTCAAAATAATGCAAAATTATTATATAAAATACGAAGGAGGTTTTAAGAATATGAATGAGAAATAGCAATGAGGGGTTTTTTTTTAATCAAAATAACTTGTTTAAAAATTAGTCACAATGCTTAAAAGGAAAAAGCGTAATTTCCTTGCTATTTCACGAAAAGTATCGCAACATAAATATTTATTTCGGACAAAAAAGCACAATATTTGCTAAATTTTTATTAATTGATTCCTTTAGGTTGACAAAATCAGAGTTCACGAAAAATTTGATCCCGAGACCTTCCTGAACGACATTGCAGTTTTGCGAGTGAAAAAACCTATCTTACTGAGCAGCTACGTGAACGGCATCTGCCTTCCCCCAGTCGACCAGAACGTAACAGGTTTCGCCACCGCTACAGGTTGGGGAGATACTCAAGAAGGTATCTTGTTTTGTTATTGCGTTACGTATGTTGTTTTCTCCCCGTTACGCGTTGCATGAAACCGTAATGATCGTGAGAAAATTCAGGATCGAGGTCCGGACGTCAATTATGAGCGACAGGAAAACAATTTCACTTTCTTTTTTTCTTGAATTACTGTGTTTTTGAGTTGATAGAGGGTGAATGGGAATGTTTTGTTTCATATCAGTCATACTTTCTAACAATTTTAAATTCCATGCATACGTGCATGCTCTGTTTCGGAGTGCTTTGCTGAAGTATACTCGTAACTGCGTGAATAATAATTTTAATTGCGCATAATATTTGCATATTGGAAAGGTTTCATGTTCGCATCAACGGTTTCCCACCAGCAAAAACGTTTAAATGTTCGAAATTTTAGAAATTGAGAAAACAAGATAAAACGTCATTTAGTGAGAGTAGTTTAAAAATTTATTAATTTAAAGTATATAATAGACTATGAAATTCAGTTGGTGAATGTTATCATAAAAAATGAGTAAAATAAATGTTTTCTCACTTTATGAATGTGATAGAAGTAGATCCACGTAATTTAATTTTTAGGTGAATAAAAATGTACATGTAATCTGTCGTTATTTTTATTTCATTTTTTTAAAATCGATATGCTGGAAAAAACAACAGAACAAACAGAAAAAAAAATAAATCTCAAGAGGCCGAATAACGGTCATAGTTTCTGATAATATATGTTTGCTAATCGCAACGGAAACGTCAAAAAGTTGTCGATGAAGGTACCTTAGAGGGGCAAAATACTACCTGTGCCTTCTCTTTAAACAATTATTAAGATGAATGGTAATGCTTAACTAAGGATAAATGTCATTAATTCAGTGAGATGCTGCGTTTTAACGAAGTATTGTTCGAGTTATTATTCTAAAAGATATTACTAATTTATTTCCAATTTCTTCAGCATTCAAACTTTAATTAATTTGAGTAATATTATCATATTTGCTGAGGTATTGTGTTTAAACAGCTTGCTAACATTTTAATAGTTAAATAAATTAGCTTTACACCAACAGTAGGAATCTCATAATATCATTTGGTCAAAAAGAGCTTATGTCAATATATATATATATATATAATTTATTATTAAACGGTATAAGCTTTTAAACTGAATAGAAATTTCAATCATCGTTAAGTCTGAAAGATTTATACTGATAGGCGTTCCATACAGCCGTCACGAAACATTGCGTTCCCCGTTAAACGGCGATTAACCGCCGTGAACACTTCATATACCTTATTTTCTGCTTGTATGAATGCGTGTGTTATAACTTTCCTACTGCACATATTTACGAAACATAGTTTACTCAATCCAGCGTGCACGAGTTCAAGTAAAAGGATCTCTAGTCACTTTCCTAACATGGTTTAATGTTCTGATCGAATTTTATGTAGATCGAATTTGTGTATTTTGCTTTATTAGGGTGTTCCATGAATTCCTAATATTTAAATAGCAATAAGATTTTCTATTATTTAAATACAAGATGCTTTTAGAATATTATATTGCAAAACTAGCATCTCTCCTCCACGTTATGATTAATCAATGTGGTTACGTTACGTTACTAAAAAGGAAAGATTTGTTTTTAAAGTTATTAAGAGTTACTAACTGTCAGCATAAAATCAGTTTTCAATTAACGTATTTGGTATATAATTATTCAGCAATAAAAACATAGTAAATATGGGAGAATATACTCCATAAAGATAATTGCTACTTTTTCGTAATAACCGTATTGAATTTTCGCGTTTGGTGAAATATTTTAAGCATTTTCCAAAATGCATCATAAATCCAAAATGCATTATTTCATACAGTTTTAAGAATTCCTTTTATTAGAGTGCTTCTTGAACTTTTTACAAACAGCCTTAACTATATAAAATTTCTTCTTTACCATATTATGTGATTAAAAACTACGTAAAAATTTGTTCATTTTGAAAATATCTCTCGATTTTTTTCTTTGTTTATTCATAAAATTAAAAAAAAATTAAAAGAAAATGTTTGTATTAAATCAATCAAATCTAGGAACTTTTATTTAGCCTGGACTTATTAAAGATCTCATGCTCTCAGATGAAAAATATATTAAACCTTTCGCATGCGATGAAACTTTTTTTTAGTTCAAAACAGTTAAAATTCAAAATTAATGAAGATATAGGATAATAATAATTAGAATGTGCACATGGAAATATGAGTTTCTATATTTACTGTATGGAACCGATAACTTATATGAAGCGCTATAAGATAGTATTAACATGTTTCTTTCAACAAGAGTGTGAAAACTGATTTAAAATTATTAGAGCTTTTTAGGTTATCCTTTTCTTATATGCTGTTATCAACATTGGAATGTAAACATTGAAAATCATCAGCCTTTCTTAAAAGAGCAACTTTTTATCTGAATTATGTTGTTCTCTTCTTTAAAGCAGACAAACGAAAATCTTAAAATTGCGAAACATGAGAAAGGTAAAAAGAAATGTTTGTGTTGATTACATTCGCTGCATATCTCTTCTTCGGACATTCGTAAAAGAAGAAACCAGCAGATCGTCGTAAACGTAATTAAGAGTCATTAGAGTCATTCTTTACCATTCTTCTTTTTTCGTGTAAGAACTTAAGACATAAATTAGTAAATATGGTAAATTCAAGAAATTTTTTATTGCAACAATTTATCCAAAAATGAGACGTTAAGAAATCGTAGGTCACATGCAAGCTATTCATTGCCTTAAAACTGTTCGTTTCGTTTCCAAGAATAATGCATATACAGAGCGATATTATCATATAAAAACTGAAAAATTAAGTCTTTGTTTAGTATTGGTTTCAAATGAAATACCCTTCAAATAAATAATAAATTTGAGGTTGCACATGCACTCAAGCTCTGTTGCAGTAATACAACAAGCATGCGGTACCATAAAAGATAAAAAAAAAGAAATTTGGGTGACAAGGTCATCATGGTAAAAATTATAATTAAAGTCATCAAATGAATCGGATACATTTTGATGAATATGAAAAGCTTCAATGAAATCTAATTTATTAATTGAAGAACTTCAGTTTTTGCCAAATTTAAGAAAAGAAAGATTAAGAACAACTGAAATAATTTTTGAAATTAAATTCGAAGAGAAGCATACCAATGTAGTAAATCTTAGTTTAGTCTAAATTTTGAATATAACTCTTTTGATTTCAAATATCAGGTTCCTCATCTTCAGAAGCAAAATAAAGTGGAAGGTATTTTTGCTGTTGAAGAAAAGTGACATCTGCCTGATCGCCCCAGAATTCGATATACGTGTTTTCGAAATCAATGTCAAATTAAGGTTGTTTTCCTGCCTAATTTTAATTTCGGAGCCTCTAACATTGGATAATGATTGTTCATTTTATTAATGAGTATTTAGAGAAAAAGCTTTAAGACGGAAATTTTGCAAGGAAAAAGTAAGGAAATAAATAATTGTTTAATTAGCCAATTAATTTCAGTAAATCAGTGAAGAGATTTTTAGAATATAAATTTACACTTAGAAGTAAAAGAACGAGTTAAACAAAGATTTTCCCCCATTACTCTACAGGAGTAATAAACAAAAGTTTTAATAAGCACTTATATTAGGAAGAAATATTTCCTTAGACTCGACGGAAAATTATTTCCTGCAGCATGCAAACAGATTTATGCCCTTCCTTGTTAGTAGAAAATCCATCGACTTTCATAAAATATATAAAATAAATGCAAAATTTCATGTAAAAGGAAACCAAATGTCCAGCTCTAGGCAGTGGATCACATATTAGAGACGAAGAAATTAAATTAAGGATAAAACTGAATTTGTTAATACAAACGAAATCCTTTCCTGCGCGTTTAATTCTGTACACAGCTTCAGCAAATGAAACCATTCAAACCCAGAAATTATTTTGAGAAATTTTATGAAAACGGTTTTCTTTATTTGCTTCATAAAATTAAAAAAAAGTTAGGGAAAAAAGAATTCTATAAAACAGATCAAAATTAGTATGTACTTTTATTTAATTCAGATTTATGATTTCAGGCGGAAATATGTCAAATCTTTTGAAAGCTGTGGAGTTGCCCCTAATACCACAATTCGCTTGCGAAATTCTTCTTGGGCCTGAATCTTTCTCTGTTAAAGCGATGTTATGTGCAGGAGATCTAGATGGAGGTCTCGATACCTGTCAGGTAAAGATTATCAGTTTTACAACTGACGTAAGTAGTCTTCAGTGAGTGTTCATTCTCGTAAGCATTTGGAACACGCTTTCTTTAGCTCAGTATATGTGTATCAATATCTAATGATGAATATAATCCATGAAATGTTATGAAGTACACAATTTTGTTGCGTTACCTTTTGCAACTTACGGATTTAAATCACATGCTAGAAAAGAAAGGAATTAAATAAAAACTAAATAAGGCAAGAAAAGAATGGGAGAGAAAAAGCTATCGGTAAAATTTCCCCAAGATTTAAAATTAGAATTTCTAGATTAAATTAGTGTAAATGGTAGTCCACAGATTCGTTTTTATCTGTGATTTGCTTTCAATGGATCAATGTACGAGGAAACATACGTAAGCATTATACAATGTCAATATTGATTAATCTTCTTAATAATGCGTTCTGAAGAATTAAATGGAGCTTTGTGCATTAAATCTTAAAACACGCAAAGTAATGCGTTTTCGAGAAAATCTTTAAAGTTTTTTTTTTAATTTTCACTATGCTAAGCTTTACTATGCTACTATGCTGCAAGACAACATTTCAATTGAAATTCTTTTAGTGTTGGTAAAATTATTATTTAATATCATTAAAACAGTACAACATTCTTGCTAAATGATTTTGAGTTCTTATCTTAACACATTTTTGTGCGGCAGATTTAGAAAATATGAAAATATTCTAAAACAACTTGTATTACTTAAAAATAAATCTTACTTTATACTTACTTAATATCAAAATATCCATTAACATAAATGTTAAATATGCATGTATAAAAATATAAAATTAAACTATGAGGTATTTCTCCCACCTTCTTGGCGCGCCTTCGTGGTGTAGTGGTTCTGCACGCTGGGCCGATATTCCAGAGGTCCGTGGCTCGATTCCAGGCGAAGGCGTTGCTAATTTTTCATCTCTCCGGCTTCCAAAAATTACCTAATGTCTCTACAAAACAACGCTGGCAAAATTAATGATAGATAAAAATTTCATTAGTTTGATGCTAATGACAATTTAAAAAAATCTTCCTATATTTCAAGAATTAGTAAACTGAATCCAAAGGAACAATCAAATCTGAGCGAGGGGAGTTCCTTGAAGTGATTATTATACTTAAGTGCTAGTAAGTATGCGGTATTGCATTCCAACTTTAGTCTAAACAATACGTATTTTTATACATATGCTTTTAATTTTACCAATTATCTTTTCACTTTTAAATTTCAAGTTCAGCTATTGTACTTTAATTTTCTCTTATTATTTAACGTTGAAGCTTTAGTCGAAACTTAAAGGAAAATCATTCTAGTGATGGATCCTTAAATTAGAAATGAGAAAACATATGTCGTTCTTCTTGTTTTTACTACCTTATTTACTGTAGCACGTAAATAATAATGTCACAGAAATACATTTAAAATCATATACATTATTATCACAATAAATATCTGGTAATTAATGTTATAGGCAGACTTTGTATTTTCCAATAGCATTCTTAGTTATATTTACAACTTTATCTATTCTTAATACTCATATATTTTATTAAAGCCATATATTGTCATTTTGAAGTCATTTGAAAAAAAATTTACATAACTATTATTTAAATATTCTTATATATTTATCACCTACGATCAAACGTAATCACAAAATAAATTGTTATCAGAAAGATTTATAACTGATAAAATATTATCAAGTATTTTTTAACTAGACATGGAATTTGAAAGTAATTGTAATCATATGAACCATACACAAAAATTTTCAGAAATAATTCAGAAATTTTCAGACCAGTGTATTTCACACCAGTGTTCGATATCATCGTTTCTTTCATTAGTAATAAAAATACCTCTAAGTTTGTTACAAAGGATAAGAAGAACGGCATCGGTTGTTTACCACAGTTGAAAGCATCTGATTTCTTGCAAAAGCATTTGCACCGCTTTTTATTGCTATACTAATTAAGTTATCCACGAATAAATAACTCCCAGAAAATTCTTAAGTTGTAAATACTCAGTTCTCTGCATCAGATCTTTCCATGAGGATCTCATTAGAAACATTTTCTTCATTTTTAACTTCCTCGAGCAGCGTCGTACCAAGTTTGAACTATTTATTCTATTATAACCTCGTTGTTTTTTTTCCATAATTTTTTTGAGAACATTTAGATGCGACTTCATTACTAATAGGTTCCATAACGATAAAAAATGTAACTCTTCAATGTTTTCTCCTACAAAATTAAAAGCATTGTTTGAACTACTACGATTCTATGATTTCAATAAATCTTTCTCTTCGGATGTTATTATGTCATGTTTCTTGCTGTTTTTACCATTTTTTGAAACTGGATTTTGGTTTTAATGGGTTTCCACTGACGCACCTTTTTTATTGTGTCCCGTCAAACAATCCGGCAGAAAACTTTGTTGTAAAATAGGTGAAAGATAAGGGATCTCCATCGAATTATTTACTTATCCACCGCATTTTTCAGAATAATCATTTAGTACTGATTTTGTGATCTGTTTTTCTTTTAATAAAACAGCTATATTTCATATTTTATTACTAATTCCAAAACAATATTTGAAAGGAAATTTATTATACTCAATATAATTAACGTTTTTACCTCTGTTGCTACATTTGAGAAAAGCGTTATTAGCTTTCAAACAGTGTTTGTTTAATGAGTTGGTTCAAAAACAGAGTTTTAAAACTGAGTATATTTAAAATCGAGCGACCCGTTGAATTATTTCAGTTTTGCTATCGACTTCCAAGAAATCTGTGAGATTGTCACACATAATTATTGACTCATAAAACCCAATAGCCTGAACTTTTCCAAATATTTCTATATTAACTAAGTGTAAAAATGGGACTTGTGTAAAAATAAAAACTTGGATTTGATAGATCTCTGTATTTTAATAACTGTTAAGAGTACAAATCATATGAATTTAAGACACAATTATTTTGAAATTTCAAAAAATTTTCAAAACTGTGGAAATCTGAGCATTAGTTCTTAAGGAAACAATTTAGCTCATTAATTTATGGTACTGCATATTGTTTTCAGAGGATCTAAAACTTACTCATGAAGTATTTTCTTTTCAGGGAGATTCTGGTGGACCACTGATTCAATATAAAGACCAAAAAGCGTTTCTAGTGGGCGTCGTATCGTGGGGAGTTGGATGTGCTCGGCGTGGCCTTCCAGGAGTGTACTCTCGAGTGCCCAATTACATTAAATGGATTGAGGAACATGTTGATTAAAATAAAAATTAATATTAAATTCAAATTTGTTTAGCTTTTTTCTCGGTTTCTTTTCATACGAACAACGTCAGTATTTTAAAATATTGCTCTCGCTGATAAGATACTGGATATTCATTCCTAAAAACAGACAACGCTTCCGCACTGGTCTAGTTATACAATCTCGAGGGCATCAAACAATGAAGAGCAGTAAATCTAATTAACCCAAAACTACTTTTTTCTCTATAAAGCTAAGTTGGAAAATCGACTTTGTATACTTCAGCTAAGTGCATTTCAAAATGTTTTTGTTGAATGTGTTGACAACTGTGGTTATCGCTGTTTCAGGTAGGAAAATTCGAATGCTACATTTATCTACCAGAGTAAAAATTTTGTGATTTAGTCATTGCATATTTTCATTTAAAAATTTAGGATGCATGTAAGTGCTTTTAATAATATTGCTTTACTTAATTTTAAGTATTTACCAGCCTCTTTTAGATTATGATCTATTACTTTAACAAGAATATAAATAAAAAGAAATTATTATTTAAGGAAGTACAATGTGCCTAAGAATAAAAAATGCGTATGTGTATATAATGCATAAGGTAAAATTAATACGACGGTTTTTCATTAGCTATATGCTACTAGTCTCATTTTGTCGTTTGTTTCAAGTTGCTTAGTTGATGTTACCAGGTAAGAACTTTGTAACACATTTGAAGACGGCAGTTGCATATAAATCATATATCAGTTTAGAATTTAATAGCATACACAGCGCTATAAGTAAATTTTAATTGCAATGTAGTCCTTCAAGCGCCCGTAGAGTTTTTTTTATTTTTCATTATTAAAACAGTTATTGCTGTAGGAGTAAATAGGAACAAAAGCAATATCAACGTTCAAGTAAATTATTGGAATGAAATCTCAAAACAACATTAAGCAAAAAAAGATAGATTTTAATACGGAGAATACTGGCGTAACAATCTTCTCCAATAGTAGTATATTTTGAGGACTAAAGCATGATGGAGGGAATAATAAATTATTAAAAATGCTTTTACTAATAAAATATTACGATTAGTTGGTAGAATAAAAATTTCCCCGCTTGGAGCATCTTTATTACATACAGAAAAATGTCTTTATGAAATTGTCAAATGAGCTAAATAATTTAGAGCACAGTAAGGGATGAAAGAAAATCATTGTAATGGAATTATTTAACAAGAGTTTTGAAATAATCATTTCATACAGTTGTGCTACGCATTAGAAGAATACTGCAAACGTGGAAATTAAAACGCTAAAGATTCAATTCATAGTCTTATTTGCCTATTTACTAAAGTTATTGAACGACTCCAACTTTTCTGGGCAACTTTTCTTTCAACATTTGAAAGTCATGGGTGCTGCTTTTACATGCGAATGATTAGAAATAGGTATATATAATCATGTGGTAACACAGCAGCGCATACAACAACATAGCAGTGATTAAGTATAAAGTCCATTGTTGTTGGGAACTGGTACCAGCGACAGTGATACTGGTAGCACAGGCAACTAACTGTACTAGTGGTACCGACGGTGATAGTGAATAAGTGCTAAACATAGAAACATGCTCCTTTTGACATATAATTAAAAATTTTGCCCCAGTGTGTGGAAGTACTGTTTTTATTTTAGCTATTACATTTATGAGCGAAAAATTATTGTAGATGATAAGCGGCTTATCCTGAAAATTTGTTTTTAATTGAGGTAAAAATAAAGGGTACGGCTTATACACGAGAGAATGCGGCAAGAGTAATAATAAAAACAATAATAATAATAACAATAATAAACTTTAGTTGTTAAAAATCATTTAAGGAACTGTAAATAGGGGAAAATATTGAATAAAATGTTCATAAAAATTTCTATTTGTCCAATTTTTAAGAATTTTTTTATTTGAACCATGTTCACATTAAAGCACAATCCAGCAATAAGCGTAATAAACATGAAAAAAAATTCGAGCTATATTGTGTCGTGCTTTCTTTTCTAAGAACACATTCTGATCTTTAAATGGGGGATTACACTAAATTCATATAACATGACTTACTAAAATATTGCAGGAAAAACTACTTTGTGTTGGCTCTTATCCAAATTTGCGAACTTCATCTTGATATACAGCTAAGCTAAGCATTGACCGATTTTAAACTCCCTTAATTGGGCAAGAATAGAAATTAAAGTACAGTAAGGTTTCTAACATTCAAGCCGTTGACTGGGCATGCAGCAATATGACACATGTGGCTCTTGAGCTTGGCAATACTGTGTTAAACTATAGAGACAGAATGAACCCTTTTTTCCCTTAGTCAGTCGTTGTTCGTAGTGATCATCTGTCATCCTGTACTTCCTTTCAAAATGACGAAAGTTTATTTCATTTTAATGTATTACTATCTAGTAATATAGTTAAGTTTTCTTAAGCTTTTAGCTAGTAAAATTTCAAGTTAACATATAGATATTTCAGCGGTTTATCCAATGTGCGGCGCTAATACAAGTGTCACATTCTTGCCACTAGGTGGCGGGCATCTCTTCCTTTACTTTTGCTGTAATTAAGTTCCGAGAAGCAGTTGAGATTGGAACCGCTCTGAGGAGCGTAAAGACTCAGAACTAAAAATGTACTGTTTTAAAATAATTATCACCTACCTTGTAAATAGTGTATATTAGCTTTTTATTTCAATAAATAATTAAAAGAAGAGATGGCCTGCTAATTGTAATAGAAACTCTTACTGGAAAACGTGATTATTAGAAGCCTGGCGTCGAGAACACTGAAGATGCAGCAGGTAAGGAATTTTACATTAATTTTATTGTAAATAGAAGAACCTGATGCAACATTTTTATGGCGCCCGAACAGGGACGCCAGGTTTTTTGAAAAGTTCTAATAAAGTGAATTCAAAAGCTGAATATTAAAATTGAAGATTTTAATACTTGTTCTTGAAGTATTCAGCAAAAGAATAATTTTGTTTTCTAAGTAAGAGTTAAATATTTGTTTTTCATGAGACGTATATTTTTTGTGTAAATGTTTGAATCTAAGAAAGATAATGGCTGAAGTAGATAAATTAAAAAAGAAAAGAAGTATCTTAAGAACTGCCGTTACAAAACTATTTAAGAAAATCGAAAGTGAATTAAATAAATCTGAAGGTAGTATTAATGAGCTCGAAGAATTGTTAGAACAGCTTAATGCTAAAGCCGAAACACTAGCTAATGCCGATGTAGAAGTTGAACCAATTCTGAGTGTAGATGAATTCGAAAATGAATTCGAAATTACAGAACAATATCGCGAGAAGATAACGTTATGGAAATTCAGGCTTAAGAAACGGATTAAGGAACTTAATCATGACTTAAATGCACCGAACACACAGCAAAATATAAAAGATACACCTAATGTTAAATTACCAAAACTTTCGATTCCCGTATTTTATGGGAACAGTAGTCAATGGCTTACTTTTTGGAATAGTTTTGAGTCCTCAATACATAATAACGAATCATTGAACAAAGTAGACAAATTTAATTACCTGAAAGCATATTTAGGAGGAACAGCTGCTAGCTTGCGTTCAAGGACTTCCGTTATCGCCGAAAACATTATGATTCAGCAATTCAAATCTTACACGACCGTTTTGGAAGGAGAGACATTCTTATTAATGCGCACATGAATAATTTGCTGAATATTGAATCATTAAAAAATGCGAATGACATAAAAACATTTCGTAACTTGTATGATAAAGTACAAACACAGATTAGATGTCTCGAAGCGTTAGATGTTGTATCGGAATCTTACAGCGCTTTGCTGTGTCCGATGATTTTGAAGTTATTGCCTTCAGAATTAACGCTTGAATTTCATAGAACACAAAATGTTGGCACCGATTATAACATAAAAGATTTAATGTCATTTTTACACGCAGAACTTTCATCCCGCGAACGCACAAGGTCAACGGTTTCGCAACAGCAAAAAGTATCCGATCGGCGACAGTCTTCTTCCCCCCCTGCAACGAAAAGCGCATATGGTCTCTCAAATAGACATAATAAACCAAAGATTCCGACCGCTACAGATTTGTTTACAAAATCCGAATGCAGAGAGGAAAATATGAACTGCGTCTTCTGTAATCAATTTCCACAAGACTTTATGACTGTAGTTTCGTTTCCGGCTTATCATTACAAGAAAAAAGGGACATTTTAAAAAGAAAATGTGCTTGCTATAAATGCCTAAAATTACACCATTTGGCTCAAAACTGCAGAACAAAAATAACTTGTTCTATTTGTAAAAAACAACATGCAACTATTATGTGTAATAAACAAAATCCTTCTGTCGAGGTTTCGGAAATTAAAAAAGACGAACAGAGATAGAAAATAAAGTACTTTCAAATCAAGCAGGATGTTCAGAAGTATATTTGCAAACTTTAATTGTTCGCATATATGGAAGAGGGAAAAAAAAACCAATTTGTTCGAGCGATAATTGACACCGGAAGTCAAAACTCATACATAAGCAGGTATGCAGCAGAAAGGTTACAATTAAGAAGCTTAGGTGAACAAAGTGTAACCCACGGACTTTTCGGTGGCATAGAAGTTTCGGAAAAACATAAACGTTATAGAATAAAATTGGGTAGCGTAGATAAACGGTATAATTGCGAAATCAATGTATTGGATGAAAGAAAAAATATGTTCTTCGGTCCCTAAAATCAAAAATATACACTGGATTAGGGAACTTAGAAGAAGAGGAATTTACGTCAGTGATGTTTTTTGAAAATGGAAATTGCAGATTATTTCCAGGAGAACCCCCAAGAGATTCATTTGTTGTTAGGGGCAGATGTTGCTGCAAATTTATTTACAGGTAAAATCGAAGTTCTTCCTTGGGGAAGATTAGTTGCTGTAAGTACAAGACTTGGGTGGACAGTCATGGGGAAAGCGAACACTGACAATTATGAAATAGAAAATTCCTTTTCCACGCTTTCGTTATCTTTACATATTTCTGATGCCACGTTGTCAGAACTGTGGAGGCTTGATGTTATCGGAATAACAGATCCAGTTACAAAAAAGGCTAGAGAGGAAAGGGATTTGCAAGCAAAATTGCAATTCGAAAATTCTGTATCTCTAAACGAAGAAGGGCGTTATGAAGTCGCACTTCCGTGGGCGGAGAATCATGTACCACTCTCCACCCACAAGGATTTAGCGTTGAAACGTCTACAATCTACCACCCAGAAACTTTTATCTCAAAATTTATTTTCTTCATACAATGCAGTTTTTAATGACTGGTGTAACTTAGGAGTGATCGAAGAAGTTAAAGAAAATATTGCGGTTGACTATGGACATTATTTACCGCATAGACCGGTGATCAAAGAAAATAG